CTTAACATATTATCTACGTTTAAGCTGGTGTTGAAAAAGAACATTTTTAAATTGCATTTTGCATGAACAAGTACAAAAACAAAACTAGTTTTACACACACTCAAATGAGCCATTTTACGCCTTTGTTCACTAAATTAAAAGTGATCAGAGCCGCGACAACCTGCTGTGATAATCAACTGGTGGCCCGTGGGCCACTTTAGGTTTGTTAGAGGGGGATTTTATGGCCATTAGGGGTGACATTATAGAGCTAAACAATATCTAATTATTTAGGCTTTTACAATTTAAAACAAACAAAAAGACCAGATTGGGGTAGTTTTTTTTTTTATTAATAAAAACTATGAACTATATGTATTTTCTTTTTATTGTGGAAAAATTAAGTACAAAAATACAGCAAAAGGTTAAAGTGAGTATGTTTTACTCCTTGTACATGTTCCAGCAAAAGAAATGTTAGGAAAACAGCTAAAACTAGTCCTTTTTTCTTGTTTGTATAACAACCAATAAAATTGAGATTTATGTTAGTTTTGGTCAAAGCTTGAAAGAGCCGCTGCGGAGGAACCGAAGAGCCACATGTGGTTCCAGAGCCGCAGGTTGCAGACCCCTGGTCACTACAAACAATAAAAATAGCAAGCAGTATAAATACTATTTAATGCTAATACTTATACAACTACATTTTTTATACTGGAAGTACAAAATACTACTTCCAGTAAAATAAAATAAAAAAAAAATATTCAAAAAGACATCTGTATGTACAATATTCATCCATCCATTATCCTGTTTCTTCCTTTTTGGGTTGCAGGGGTCACTCGTGCCCATACCCAGCAGTCACTGTGCAGGAAGCGAAGGACACCCTGGACAGGTCTCCAGTCAAACAACCATTCACTCTCTCACTCAAATCTAGAGACAATTTAGAGTTACCAATCAGCCTAACATGCATGTTTTTGGTCTGTGGGAGGAACCAGGAGTACCCGGAGAAAACCCACGCATGCACAGAAAAAACATGCCAACTTCTACCAGAATTTCTCCCCGGACTGGATTGAACTGACGACCTGCTCCCTGAGAGGCAGTGGCTCTACCATCTGTGCCACTGTGCTGCCATGTGTACAATAATAATAATAATAATAATAGTACACTATAAGCAAGTGGTTGTGAAAAGAAATGAATTCTTACATTATAAATAAATTGTACATCAAAACAGAACGCTTGATCAGAAAAATACTATGACTTTTGGTAACAGTGCATAGTAAAGTGTGGACAAAAATTTGAAAAAAACAAAAACCTGCATGTTAAAAAAGTTATCAGTGATATTTTGGTGTAACAAGTAAGAAAACCCAAACCCTTTTTTTGAAACAATGCCAGTCAAACATGCTTTACAGTTAAAACTCATTCAAAGTTTAAAACAGGTTGGACTGGAGTACCAACTTGGAAAGTTGGATCTTACGTGGCCAAATTGATACTTCGATTCTTTTTATACTTTTGGCCAAATCACAGTTTAGGTTTTGCAGTTCTTAGAGCTTTTTCTATGGAACGTTAAAGTGACAGTTGATCTTGTGCTTTCTAGCTGTAAAAACCATTGTGAACAAACATTTCTCACTCCAACTATTTTTTTTTGGCACATGTATCAAATATACATCAAAACATAATGATCTTGGTCTATATTTCACCCAATGTGCCAATCATTGCTATAAGAAGTTCCCCACCCCCCAAAATACTGCGAGTTCTCACTCAGGCTTCCATATGCCAATTATATTTTAGCTCAAATTATTTTCTCTAAAGCTGGAAGTAAAGTATGTTTTTACCTTTTCATATCTCCTACATGAAACACTGTAGAAACATAAAAATCCACATGTACGGCCATCGGTGTCTCCTCATGTTTCAAGAATATGAAAAATCCAGTTTACAGTTAACTGTGCATAATTTTCAGTCTGCCTCTTACTGAGTGTTTTACAGTTATTAATGTACACGAATCAGGCAGCACACCCCAAATGCATTCATAGCTATTTCTTGTATTCAAGGTTGGCATTCAACTCTTTTTTTTTTTTTTTTGGTCCTTTACACCTGCTTTTTTTAATAAACTTTTATTTACAAGCGTCTTTTTAAAATTGTTTTATTTTGATTTTACATCGTGATAGCTAAATGCAATATTTTCGGGTGTCAGAAAGACTGCAGAGCACAGCTGAAACATAAATTTGAAAACTGTTCAGACTAATTGCAGTTCAACAAACCGGAAGTGAGTATGAATATATCTAGACCACAATGCATTGCAAAATACTAATGATTTGGCTGTCAGGGAGTGAAAAACGCAGCTATGATTTCCATGGTGACCATAAATAGCCACTGATATGAACTATATAGTTTATTATTATTGTTATTATTATCTTGGTTCTGTTGACACTTCTTGTACAGTGTATAAATCAAAATATATATTTTGTTTCTTATTGTAATTACAAGAGTGACGTTGTCATTTTGGGCAACAGCAACAATGGCACCCCGTAACATGTCTTTATTATTATTATTATTAATATTATTATTATTAATGTTGTCGTAGGTGTTGATAGGGCTGGTCTGTTCCGCCTCTGCTCAGAGCAGGAGGAGCAGCTGACTAATGTTCAGTGAGCAGCTGCAGCAGCGCCTGCTGTCAACTCCTCAGATCGAACAGTTAGCTAGATTTGCCTAGCAAACACAGCTCAGTCTGACGGCTACATGGCCGCTCAGTTCCGTGTTCAGTCATTTTAAGGGGAAGTGAAATAGTACGTAGAGACGTATTTTTTCCTGTCAGCTACCCGCAGTCGAAGGACGAGAGGAGAACTAGAATCGGAGCTAACGCTGGTTAGCGAGCTAATGTTAGCTTGCCAGCGCAATGGTGAGTAGCATTAGCTTGTCCGCTCGGCTAATATCGGTGACAGCTGTACGGTGGGTGGTTAACACTACGGCGACTAGACAGAGATACTTTTTTCCTGGTCTGTTCTCTTATTCGAATTGTTTTTAAGCTCAAATGGGTAATAAAAAGAAATAATCCTTGTTTCTTACATGTAACTGTTACGGGTGCAGAGATTCTGCCCATCAACTTCAGGGCATTATCACTCCTTCCTTCACACTAAGTTAAAATACCTAAATGTTATCGTTTTTTTTTGTTTGTTTTTTTAATCGTTGAGCAGTGTTGGTTAACAGTTTAGTTATAATTAAAAGAGGAACATGTCCGTTGATTAATAAGGCCTCGTAACTATTTTTTTGACTATTGTCAGTCCAAGAAACCTTTTGTTATTGTCGCTTATAACTTATCTTGGGGATAATTTTCTACAGCTGCAGAATATGTACACATGATGTACATAGTATACTCTAATTTCTACTATTTGTAGCCCTTATACTCGGCAACATTTAAATTAAAATATGGTGTTTTTAGACGATCTGTCAGTGTCATACAGGCTTATCCTGAACGTCTCTTACTTTAGCTGTTACAATTTTAATATCAAAATACAGATAATAGCAGTTTTCTGTTTGCCCTAATGGTTCTAAGGCACTAAGTTCTTACTATACAAGTTTATAACATTTCAGCAGTTCAAAGTCACCACTTTTTAAGTTTTAACCTTTGTGAAGAGCTTGAGATAGTTTTTATCTACAGTCTAACTTGATGAACCAGCTGGTTCCACACCCCAGCATTCAATATTAGCTCTTCATTAGGTATGAGGTATGAATCTATTAAGTGAATTTATTCTTCTTGGTTTTTTTATTTTGTAGACACTTTAATGTTGAGCTCTTTTGTATGGCTGTGTAAACATTTGCCCACTCTGTATGTAATATTAAAACATTTTCTGTTCTAGAGGATGATCATGACGTTAATTTTCCTACATATTAACGATCCAATAATTTAGTAACAAAGTTGTGTCGTCAAAAGCGTCCGCCAGTGAAATGATTCAGCAGCTTGACTCGGATTGCAAATGCAAACATGACCAACACAACACTGTCGATCGTTGACTCGTTAGTTTTTGGTTGTTTTAAGGAAACAGTGAGAGATTAGTATTTTTATACACTGCCTGGCCAAAAAAAAAGTCTCCACCTGGATTTAACTAAGCAAATGTGTACGAGCGTCCTATTGGATAATTACTGCACGGGTGATTATCTTTCAGCTGCCAACAAGTTATTTAACCCCAACTGGTTCAGTGAGTTGCTTCTCATTTCTTAACCTTTTATTTTGGTGGCGACTTCTTTTTTTTGGCCAGGCAGTGTATTAAACATGTACCAAATTTAACTGCGTAACCAGTGACCTTTCGTCTTTATTTTAGTTGAACTGAAAATCCTTCCTCCATTTAGAGAAAAATTCAAACTAGAACAAAGTCAAAGTTTTAAATTACCCAGCCGTTCTTCATGTTTGTCAAACTCATATTAGCCTTTGGTTGCAGTAGCAGGACCACAAGTCCAGTGGATGATTTATTAATTTCATAGTTGGGGCTAATTTTGGACGTGTCAGTTTAAAAGTTTTGGACAGTGTTTTTTTTTATTTATTTTTTTTACTTAAGCTCCAGACAGAAATATCAGCACGGTGTTTGTTTTAATTGGATCTAAATAAGTGTTTGCATTAAACGACCTGAATGTCTGAGGTTATTTCTAACACTGCTGTATTGAATTTCAGGCCTATTCTTAAAGTGTTAATTATATTTTCCTTTGCTCTTCTAAACCCTACCATTGACTTTGTTGTTGACTAATTAGACTAAAAATACATGGAAATCAAATACCAGTATCAAGACTTAATAATTACTAAAAGTTTTTAGTACTATTACTAAAATAGTAAATGGTAAAATACCATTAGTACTACAGGTACTAATGGAAAAGGGGCATTTAATGTTTGCTTGCACTTATTAATATTTTAGTTAAACCAAAAGGTTCAATTGGTTTCATTCAAATTGTTCTTTTATGTCCACGAACTGATGTTTGTATAGTCTCTGTGTACAGGTCTACAGATGTGTTGGAGATGATGTGAAGCCACTCTGCTTGTAGAGACCAAAATGGCTGAAGTCCAGGCCACAGTGGAGTTTTCTGTGGAGCTCCACAAGTTCTACAATGTGGACCTGTTCCAGAGAGGGTGAGTTTTGTCTCAGGCTTCTAGAAGGACCTTTTTTATTGTAGCCAACTTAAATCAAATAGCAATTCTTTACTAATAAAATGCCTTTGCAAAGAGGTTTGTCTTGATTAAAAAATATTTACAACTAACTTATATGTATATGTTAGACTGCCTTCAGGACCAGGCCTCCCTTTGAGAGATCTGTGATCTCAATGGGATTTGCCTGGTTAAATAAAGGTTAATACTATGGTATGCTTTAAACTATTTCAATGACTGGTTAGCAGTTTGACGGAAAGGAAACGAGCTACATTCTGTGAATGTCAGTTTGGGACAGATGGCAATCTTCAGGGGACTTTAGCACAGACAGCATTAATATTTCTTCAAGTGTCTTCTTCTCTACATGCAGTTTGGCCTCTCTTCTGTAATTCTGCATTAATGATAGTTTGTCTGAGGTGGGTCATTTGAGGACAGTCATTACTTTGTGTGGTGGCTGAAGCCAGATCTTACTGCAGTTTGCCACTAGTTTTGTTAACAGCATTCGTAGGAAAGTCTCTAAAATGTGTCAACATTTGTGGGGGTTCTCAATTTCTCTGCATGATTCACAGGGCTTTAGTCTTGTTGCTTAAATTTTGAGTATGTTCAAAAAAATTGTAAGACAGATATTCTCTCAAAATGTTTTGCCATGGTCTCAAACTCTTCTCAATTTAGTTTCCATAATTTTAGATCTCTACAGCTATGTTGTTTTTTTTTTTTAATGAATTTCCTCCCGTTTATATTTTTTTGCTTCTGTATTGAAATATTTACGCATTTCTAATTTGATTTTGAATGCATTGTTTGCACTTGCAAACTAATATGTGCTTCAAAGTGTTTGTGGAAAAAAATAAAACCGCTATAATTGCTCAGCTGCAGTGCAGAGCTTCCCTTCTGCTTCACAGGAGGTTTCCTCCCTGAGCTCTCCTGATGACACCTGTGTTACCGTTTGACTTGTGTACCGCCCCAGTCACAGTCCCCATCTGTCACTGTTCCCTGAGCGGGTCGCATCATCACAGGCCGAGCGATTGATGCCCCTTGGGGCTCGCCTCTCTGAATTGCCAGAAAAGTGGTAACAATTATAGTAGTGACATTTTACCACAGCCAGTTGAGCAGTAACAAGTCTGCAATGCCCGTATGCCCACGAATGCAACCGCACCACACTAATTACCAGCCTGTTTTGTTGACTCTGTCAAACTCTCGCAATTCTTGTTTAAATACACGTGCCACAGAGACTCGCTGCACGTGGAAGCAAATGTTGTTTGCAGAGAAAGCATAACCTACCCTACTTGTTTTTTTAAGCAAACGTAAATTATTTTTTGATGTTTAGAGCCTGATTTGAACAGAACTGTGCTTTTTAAATGTCCTCTGTCTTGAAAGCCTGGTTTATTTAAAGAAAAAACAAAAAAACACACGCACCCAGAGATTTCAGCCCTGAATGTTCAGGTCAAACAACACAGAGGATACATAATAATTTAAAATCTGGTCCAATTTAATCTGCTCATCTTGATTTCTTAAGTACTTCTGTGGATAGCAGGCCAAGGCATATACGCTGTAGGCAGGGGTGTGCAGTGACATGATGTGCACAACCTAGAATACAGTTTTGCAAGTTATGCATATGCAAATAGGCCATTATTATTAACAAATAGCTGTGCAAAATGTGGCTGCACAACTTACAAATTGGTTTCAATCACTCAAAATTCAATTAAACTGCAACTAAAGAGGAACAATTTTCAGTCTCAAACAAGTCTCGGTTGCAGGTGGCTTAACTTCTCAAGAGTTGCACCAACATAAAGTTTTCTTCCCAGGCCCAAAGCTTTTTCTGTTTGGCCACAAAGCTTGTGGTATCTTGTAATGGAAGACAGATGACAACCATCAGCAGTTGTGGCTTTTTTTTAATTTTATTTGAATGATCCCCTTAAAAAATAAAATGAAATTTATACAATTTTATTTATATATATATATATATATATATTACTTTACTTATTTTGAATTTGTAATAGGATATGTCAGGACTACCTGGCTAGAAACAATAAACCTATCTGTGCAAACTGTAACATGAAAATGAACCTCTTGGGAAGACAAATACAGGATTGCATCGGACTAAACAAGATTTGAATAAACAAACTCAGTGATGTTTTTCCTACAAATGTTTCCTAGTGGCAGGAATTAAAAAGATAATTGTCGTGACACTAAACAACCTTTGGGTGGACACAAATTGCTTATCTGCTTTACTTGGTGTTCTATTATTATATTAATTGTAATACCACTTATAAAATAATGACCTTGTCTCTCAAGCAAATGTGGATTAAATTGAACAGCAAATCATTTATACCTTGCTGTGCTCAGGTAAAATTCCTGCTCAGCGCTTGTGACTCATCAGTGCTTGAAAAGCTTGGGTTTAATACATGAGTGACTGTGAAAGAGCTCATTATTAACTTATGAGTCAGAGTCAGAGTCAGAGTTTCTTTATTGTCATTCGCACCTCATGTGGTACATGTGGTGGAGCGAAATTATGTACACAGGGTCCCAGTTACATCCAACAATAAAATGTCTAAGAAAAACAGTAATAACATCTAAGATATGAACTAAGAAAAACATCAACTAAATATACACTAAGCACTCATAACATAAAACATTGAACATCACCACAAACATGAACATGAGTCTGTGAGCAGATGTGCACGCATGAACACATCAACATTGAAACAGATCAGCAGCAACATGAAACAGATCAGCAGCAACATGATATGGTTTTTCACAGTGATTATTCTAGTTAGATATTCATGAGTCTAACAGCCTCAGGGTAGAAGCTGTTCCTCAGTCTAGTGGTTCTACACTTAATGCTCCTTAACCTCCTTCCTGAGGGGAGTGGGGCAAAAAGTGTGTGTGCTGGGTGGGTGGGGTCCTTCATGATGCAGGTGGCCCTCTTCCTGCATCTGGAGGTGTAGATGTCTGTGATGGTGGGGAGACTGATTCCAACAGATTTCTGTGCAGCCTTCACCACTCTCTGCAAAGCTTTTCTTTCTGCAGCTGTGCAGCCTCCATGCCACACATTGATGCTCGAGCACAGGATGCTCTCCACTGCACACCTGTAGAAGGAGGTGAGGACTGAGCTTCCCAGACCAGCTCGCCTCAGCCGTCTGAGGAAGTAGAGTCTCTGATGAGCTTTCTTGATCAGGCTGGTGGTGTTGTTGCTCCAGCTGAGGTTGTCATTCATGTGTACACCCAAGTACTTGTAGCTGGAGACCACTTCCACCGCAGATCCTCTTATGTTCAGGGGGGTGTAGGTGTTTTTGTTCCTTCTGAAGTCCACAATCATCTCCTTTGTCTTCTTCACATTGATGTGAAGGTTATTCTCTCTGCACCAGCTCTCCAGGTGTTCCACCTCCTGCCTGTAGCTGGACTCATCATTGTTTGTGATGCATCCCACCACCGCTGTATCATCTGCAAACTTTACAATGTGACAGCCTGGATGGGTAGCTGCACAATCATATGTGAGCAGAGTAAACAGGAGGGGGCTCAACACACATCCCTGAGGAGAGCCAGTGCTGAGGGTTATGGTGGAGGAGGAGAGGTTGTGGATCCTCACTAACTGTGGTCTGTTTGTTAAAAAGTCTAGTACCCAGTTGCAGATGGAGGGGCTTAGTCCTAGTGTGGATAGTTTGTCCATCAGGGTTTGGGGGATCATGGTGTTGAAGGCGGATGTGAAGTCCACAAAGAGCATACGGACGTAAGAGTTTTTCTGCTCCAGGTGGTTGAGTGCAGTGTGGACCACAGAGGAGATTGCATCCTCTGTTGATCGGTTCTCACGGTATGCATACTGATGAGGGTCCTCGTTGATGTTGATGGTTGTTTTGATGTGAGTCATGACCAGTTTTTCGAAGCATTTAGCGACTATCGGGGTGAGGGCCACTGGCCGATAGTCATTCAGACCAGTCACTGTAGAGCTTTTTGGGACTGGGATGATGGTGGCAGTCTTCAGGCAGGTGGGAACTGTCTCCAGGGTAAGTGAGGTGTTAAAGATGTCTGCCAGCATGAGAGGTGCAGTATCCTTTTACAATTAAGACCTTTGTAACTTGTAATTTGTTCACCATTTAAAATCCACCTCATGTTCTGTACCAAGCTAACAGTGCTTTTTTTTAAATCCCTACAATTATTTTTAACCATTTTAACAGGTTCTACCAGATACGTGCCAGTCTTAAGGTACCTCCACGTGTTCCACACAAAGTTGAGGCCAGTCTGCTTCGGGCAGGAGGTAAAATCCAATTTTTCTTTACATGTGCACGGTAAAAAAGAAATCTATACTAAAACAATCTTTTGTGGTAGGTTGTTTATCTACATTCAAATCTGTGTAAAAAAAAAAATTATATATTTGTAGTTTCAAACATTGTCTAAATTATTTTGTAGATGTAATTAACTCTTGGTTTATGTATATTATGATGCATATTGTTCCATAATTCTTAATGTGGTTTATGAAAATGATGATCTTGAATATTAATTGAGATTCTACTGCGTTTAGTGAAGTCATGCTCAGCTGGTACCCTTCCTTATCATGCTGTTGATCAGTGGTTTTCATTTAGGTTCTGACCTGGCGTTCCCAGCTTCAGTCCAGGATGATGTCATCTGCAGCAAAACTTTTCAAATCTTGTATAAGAACGAAGAGGTTGTCGTCAATGATGTCCTTCTCTTCAAAGTGATGATGTTGCTGGATGAGAAGAAGGTCGGTTTATAAAAGAAGGGTTCTGTCTTTGCCAACTTTACGGCATCTTTCGTTTTTCATTTGGCTTCATGGTGTGCATAAAATTTAAATGAGGGTAAAAAAAAAGAGGACGGATCGTTTTTGTGTCATGAACTTTGACACAAAATTCACAAGTTCGTAGTATGAAACTCCAGATGCTCCAAAAGTGTGTTGTTAAATGCGTGATGCACAATGGAGAGATCGAGAGACTATTTTTAAAACTGCCCAGAGCAAATTAGCTGTTGCAAAGAGTATTGTCTTTTACTAAACTGTTGTGCAGATGGAAAAAGTGGATGTACAGTTGAGTAGGATGCATCAGACTATTACTGGATGAGTGTTATCTTTAGGTTACCATATTTTTTGGACTATAAGATGCACTTAAAATCCTTTTAATTTTCCCCAAAATCGACTGTGATCCTTATAATCCGGTACGCCTTATGTATTAATTCTGGTTGTGCTTACTGACCTCTAACTGATTTTATGTTGTACACGGCACTTAAAAATCTGTCAAAATGAACTTGTTTTGCTTAATGTGCCTTATAGTCAGAAAAATACTGTATATGACAAGGTGCTTCAACGTTATCAGACTAATTAGCTGCCATAAAAAGAACAGTCTTAATACTTTTTATTATAAAACTTTCAGTTCAGCTCATTTTTTCCTTTTATGCAAGTTCTCAAGTTGACTGTTTTTTTTTTTATTCTCAGGTGGAAGAGTCCCTCACTGACATGGATTTTCAGCTCTTCTTGGATTTGTATTTCACAGATGGTGATTACACGTAGGTGTTGCAATGCTGAACTGTCGCCATGTTGTTTAAATGTTATAACTGCAGTTCTTATGTAAACAACGAAGTAACTGCATCTTCCATTTTTATTCTGTGTCTTCTACAGACCAAATGATCCAAGCCCTTTACAAAACATCAGTGGCCGCGTACTTCGTTTGCACTTTAGCCTCGAGCGAGGCATCCACCAACACATTAATGTTATGTTTGACTATTTCCACCTGTCTGTCATCTCTGTAGTCATCCATGCTTCCCTTGTGGCTCTACATCAGCCCCTCATCAGGTCAGATTAGCAGCATTTTTTTAAAACTTGACTTTATTAAAATAGCATAAGCACACTTGGTGATTTCCATCTTGAAGTAGTAGTTAATTGTCTATTGAATGTATGTATTTTTCTGCAAGTTTTAAATTTTGTTTTCTATGTAGTTTCCCTCGACCTGTGAAAACCACATGGCTGAACCGAAATGCTCCCGCACAGAGCAAAGATTCAGTCATCCCACCCCTGGAGAACGTCGTCTTCGGCAGCAGTTACGTAAAGCAGGTGTCCACAGATGTAAGTGGGCCTCTTCTAAAAAGAAAAAAAAAATTGTAAAATATTTTAAATTGAAGAAGCTGCTAAACTTGGATCCGTCCAGAGGACCTGACTCAACCTTGTTAGATTTATCTACCTGGATTATTGCGCATGCATCAGGACGTTTTAGGAATGTATAATTTTCAAAGCTCTGTGCACTAGAGTTGTCTAAAGGAAACCCTCAGTCAAATAAAACAATTATTTGCATAATATTTATTTTTTAAAATAAAACATCTTTGCCAGTAATGTTTTTTCTTGGACATGGCATTGTACCGAATTTGAAAACATTTCCCTCAGTTGGAGTATTGTCACATTTATTGCATTTGAAGCATGCTGAGATGTCACATGTTGATCGATGGAGCACAAATGAAGGGGAAAAAAAAGCAAAGCTGTCACGTTTGACCAGAGAAAGGCGTTCAGCTCGAACGTCCTCTGAGATGCTCTTTATAGAGTTGTTCATGAAGAACCGTGGCATTGTTCTTCATCACCACCTGATGCATCACTGACATGCAACTTGGGAATAACACCAACCCTCCCAAAACCCAACTGATCTTAAATGTAACTAGAGAAATTGCATTTCCTGCGAAAATGCAAAATGCTTATTGTTCAAAAACTTGCTGAAAAGCAGCTGAAATTAAAGCCTTAATTAGCAGAAGAAAGCAGAAAGAACATATTCTTGCTGAATTAGGTATAAATTAGCAGAAATGAGCAATAAAATTAGGTAATTGGCTAAACAAGCTGAAATTAGCAAAAGTAGCTGAAAAGGCAGAAAGAAGTTTAAACTACCAGAAGGAAATGGAAGGAGCTTAAATGAGCAAAAAAAATGTGGAATTAGCTAAAAAAAAAACTCAAATTAGCATAAAAACATAAATAGTAGCTGAAATAGCAGAAAAAGCTAAAACTAGAAGAAAAAAAGCTAAAAGAATAATAAGCTGACGTCACCTTAAATAAGTTAATTAGGTTGAAAGTCGCAGAAATTACTATGAAAAACTTGAATTAATCTGAAAACCGCTAAAATTATCTAAAAATGCTAAAAAGTTGCTGAAAAGGTAGAACAAACAGATTGGCAGAAAGAACACATTTGCCCAATTAAGCTTAATGAAGCATAAATTGAGCACAAAAAAGTGGAAATTATCTGAAAAACAAAACCTGAAATTGGCAACAAACTGCTGAAAAGCAGCTAAAGAAATCAGAAAAAGCTTAAATTAGCAAAAAGAAGTGGGGAGAGCACATTTATGTTGAATTAGGCTGAAAAAAGTTTAAATGAGTGCAAAAAATGTGAAATTAGCAGAAAGAAATTAGAAGCACAAACATGTTGTAGTTAGCTGAAAGAAGCACAAAACTGCTGAAAAAACAGCTGAAATTAGCTGAAAAAAAGTATAAATCTGCACATGGATGCTGAAAGAAACTGAACCAGAAGAAAATGTGAAAGGAGCAGTAAAAGGTTGTAAACAGACGTAAAATGAGCTCAATTCATTTTCTATGAGGAAACAATATGGCAGAAAAAGCTAAAATTTTCAAAAAGCTAAAGTTGCACCAATACCAAAAGTCATAGTAGGATTGTCCTGAATGAACTGAATGTTTTGCTATACGACTTGTTGAAATAGCTTTAAAATTGCAGGACGAGAATCACGCTGCAAAATGTATGGAAGAAAAATGGATCACAATAGTGTGAATGCTTCATAAACGTTCACACAACAAGCGTTTCGTTTTCAACAGGACGTATGTGCTCAAGCTGTTGGCTCTTTCTTCCTTGTCCTTTAACAAAGATAGCTTATTACAACAAAACTGTGCATGTAGTGCAAAAGGCTAAAATAGGGACTTTGCTTTACTTTTTAAACCGATTTGTACCAACATACTATAAAAATGGTCACCAGAGAGGTGGAACTCCAAACTGTGATTGTAAAGTAGAATCTCTAAACTATAGCAGTCACATCACAAATAACTAGTGAGTCACCTTTTCTCACTAATGTACAACACCAATAGAGTTGTTTAAACGTTTTTCAACCAGACATCATACTTTTAAGTCACAAATGTTTTCTTTGTTTTGTGTGGTCCATCAGGGCAGGATGTTCCTGGTATCTGACCCCTGTCTGCAGCATGCCTTCAGTCTGCACCATAACCTTTGCTCCAATCTTCTAATTGCCTACCGGGGCCTTTTTGGTTACTTTACCTCTATTACCAAGGACCTGCCCTCCTCCCATCGTATGGAACTAGGTACAGTATGCTGCACTTTGGCTTCCGTTTAGCTTGGATTGTACCACATTCTATAACCACCTAGACTTAAAATATTATTTGCATTTCTTTTTTTAAACTCACAAACACAAAGAGGAGGCAGGTACTGTCAATAGTACACAGTCTTGTTTATTTTCTGCTTTAGTTTTTTGGTTTTAGCGTGTTTTTTGCAGATGTAGTTGTAACCTCATCATCTCCCCTCCTTACACATTACCAAATTAAGACCTTTAAACAAATTCATCAACAGCAGTTTATTTGCTTGGGGGATTTTAGCTTAATATTACTAATCATGCTTAAAAAAATCATCTCGGTAGAGAAGTCTGTTAACGTTTACCAAATGCAAATGGCAAGCACAACTAACTATTCTTACCCAGGGTAGTCTGCACAAGTTGGTAGATATAAACCTTATCTAAAGGACTAAATAATAAAAGAAAAGTTAAATATGCCTATATGTGCAATCTTACTAGCCAAGCCCAGCATGCAGGTGCTATATGAGAGAGTTCTCAGAAGACCCTATCCCCGAGGTCAAAGACACGTCTACATAGGTATGTCGCAACGCTTCCTGTACCGTACATCAACCTGGCTTTCTCTTTTTCTTCTTCGCTCTAGTTTCCTTCATAAAAAAATCTAATTCCACACCGCTTTTTAGGACCCACTTTCCAAAGAAAACCTTTTAACCCTTTTTCATCTTTCCTTTTTAGCAGTGTATAAAACCTACTCATACTTTTCTTTCCATCGTTACAAAAAGACTTTTGGCTAAAAGCTTCCTAGACTCTCTAGTTCTAACTTTCTCTTGTTGTGTCTTTTAGAAAAATAACTTCTAACACCAGTGCTGTGCGATACAACTTTCTAACTTCCATTACAGATTCATGTTCAGTACTCTGTATAGTTAAATAACAGCTTTTAATGTTTCTCCCTCTACAGAGCAACTCGACTTAGAGGCTCGACTAAATGACCTGTGTGAGCAAGTCAAGGTGAGACTTGCTGAACGCGTTTCCTTTTTGTCTTTTGATACTTCTCTCTGTGTATGCAAGACTATATCCAGGGTGTAGTTGTTTTTAATTATGAAATGCTGTCATATTGGTGGTGATGTTGAGGTGTAACGTATCGTGATCAGTGAGAATTCTTTTATTAAATTAGGTAACTCGGAGCGTGTCAAATTGTGGTAGAGTGGTGCAAGTAAATGCCTGCAGTAAATAATTTATCAGTCAACTGGAAGGTATTTTGATGTCGCTTCGCAGTTGATGACGTGACCTAAAAATTAGTCTATGAAAGCATTTCATAATTATGTACTTCTGGGGTTATCAGGTCCACATAAAAAAGTAAGGAAATAATCCAAAATTGTTTGTAACAAAAATAATCTGCAGACAATCAAGGCATTAAAATGTTTTCTGTCAGATTTTACTCGCTAACACAAAGCGATTGTACTTTATCCTCTTATTTAGGACCTCACTTGAGTCATCCACTGAGTGATGTATTTTTGTTTTTTTTAGCTAAAAGCTGAGTCCCCAGACGAGCTGGCAGAGCTGGTAAATATGAACCTGGCTCAGCTCTGCTCTCTGCTTATGGCTCTCTGGGGACAGTTTGTTGAAGTTGTGTCCCTGCAGGAGCAAATTGCTGGCCTACTATCTATGGAGCACCATATGCTACGAGTAAGTTCAACTTATTTAATTCAATTCTGAAGGGATTTATATTTATTTAAGATAATTTTACTTGATTGTAATAACTGATCCTAAACTATAGTGAATCTTCTATAGAACTTAACTGACTACTTTATGTGGTGTTTTAGTGTTTTTGTGATAAGCTTGCTTTATTGGTTTTCAAAAACACAAGAAGGAGCGGACTTGATTAGCATCAAGGCATTTAACTTTATTGTGTTTAAGTTTAGAGTAGTTTGCCTTTTAGGGTATAAAAGAACGACAAAATTGCATGATTTATGCACAACATGTCAGATAAATGAACAAGTATGTTTTGTTACAGGTTAAGCGGTTTGCTGAAGCTTTCTTTTGTCTGGAACATCCAAGACAATCTGCGCTGGCATATCAGGAGCTACAGTAAGTTGTGCTGACAATTTGGTCTTGAATTTTTAATATGGTAATGATGTTCTTAGATGTGGACTGATAAATTCTTATTTGAAATACTACATACCGTATTTTCCACCGTAAATGTTGCACCGCCCTATAAGTCGAATCAGTCAAAATATGTCTAATAAGCGGAAAAAATCCTAAACATGTCACTTTGCCGTATACGTTGCATCTATTATGCGTCACTGCTGACTTGTTGCGTTTGTTTGTTGCGCGTCACCGCTGACAACTTGAAAATGTGGGCCGAACCCAGAAATGTGGGCCAGTGTGCCAAAATCGATTGGCTGCCAAATGACGGCCGCAGGAGCATGCACGGGAGGACTTTAACAAGAATTTAACAAAAAACAATTGTTTGGTTGCTCGAAATTAAAGGTGCGTCTCAGTCTAAGTTTTCCTTAATAAATGCGTTTGGACGGCCAAATCTGCTGCATTTCAAAACCCGATACGCGGAAGCATGAACGAGCAGAGGGCGGCTCTGTCTATTTCTTCAAAATTTAACAAGCTAACCACCTAAAAACAATTATTTGTTTGCCCGACATTATAGTAAAGGTGTGTCTCAGTTGAACTTTTACTTAATAAATGCACTTCAGTGGTCAAATCAGCTGCATTTCGCCGGGGCGGCGCAGCGAAATGAAGCTGATTTGACTGTTGTTCCAGGCAGACAACATTGGCAGTTTGTGGCAAGCCGATTGTGTCATTAATAGCCACTTTTACCTATTGTATGATATAACAGCATGCCATACTCCTCAACTGCCATCTAGCGCCTGAAAATGGTAGTGTTCAATATTTTCAGTCAGAATGAATGAAAACGGTCATATCTCAGCCAAAATTTGGTTTATAAATATGGGGGGGGGAAATCCATCAATGCATCGCTTCGCAGGGCATGCAAATTATGCACACATAAAAAAAAGCGACTTATGCAGCGAAAAATACGGTAGTTCTCATCTCTGTTATTGTCTCCTTTTCTTCCTGGGTCTCCATCAGTGCTCACAGTCACCAACAGATGACTAATGCTATCAAAAGCTCCAGCTACTTCTTGTGTTTACCACCACTTCCAGTGGATTGTGCAGACCTTGATGGTGATGTTACTACTCTGCCAATAATCTTTGAGGATAGATATCTGGATTCCATCACAGAAGGTGTGGAACTTGTTATTGCTGTTGCTGTAAATTATTGTAAATTATTACATGTAAATTATCTTGTTTTTTTTGTCCCCCTTATATGTGTTAATCTTGTTTTTTGTTTTTCATTAGACCGTGATGGACCTTGGTTAGGCATGCACAACACAAGAACTGGTTCTGTTTCCAGTAAAGCAGAGAAGTCCAACGCAAAGGACTACAGTGCAGCTGCCAGCCCCATACCTGAGTCAAGTTGTGCTCTTCTGGATAACGCCTGGCCAGATAATTTTGAAGCACCACCTAAGTCCAAAGGCAAATCAGTAAGAATAAAGAAAATTTCTAAAACTGATAACTCTAAGAAGTTAATTAGACAGGGGTCCAAGGACTCTGTAGTTTTGGTGGGCTATAAGAATCTGAAAGCCCCCTACAGCGACACCAGCACAAAGTACAAGGAAGAAGAGCCTCCTTTTAGCCAAGTTGAGGAGAGTCATACCTTGCAACGGGACTCAAATTGTTTTTTACGGACTAATACTAGTTCTGCTGTTGCCACTGGTGGAGCATCAGCACATTTTGAAAACCGTGCTGAGACAGTTACAGATGACATAAGTACTGCTGCTAGTCATGAGGCTCTTTTCAAACATGTTTCCACTCTGGACTCTCAAAGTAACCCTCAGGCAGGTACTGGGGCTGTTGCTGCAAGCCAACAAATACAAAAAGATGAGCACGTTGACCTTACTGGCCAAAAGGTGCCACAGCTATCTGCTGGAGTAAAGCGAAGTGACGTCAAACCAAGTGGCAAGGACTCTATCCACCGTGATAAGGTACCAGTGATTCTACCATATCAGACTGTTGGAATTCCCAGCAGTAATATTCCTGGAATTACTACGCAGGCAGATGTTTGTGACTCTCAACAGTCTGCAGTGGATTCTGTTTTTGAAAAGTCAAGTAAAGAGGCAACACAGTGTAGCCAAGCCTGTGTGGTCTCAATAAAGGTAAACAGTGAGTGTATCAGGCTGCCAGATGTAGGAGTCCCTAGCGTCTCATCTCGCCTCTCAGACTCGGGTATTGAAAGTGAACCCAGCTCTTTTGCTACTCAACTTGTTCTAGGATCCCATGCTGGAGCAGGAGTCCCTGAATCCAGCGTTGTTGTTTCACAGACTGAGAAGACTCTCCAGAGTCCTGCTCCACAGCCTGCTCAACAAAGCACAGTGCAAAAACCTAGTGGTATAGGAGAGATTCTTTTTCCTGAAAGCTCGAGCCCCGTCAGCGGAGTCCAGTCCTCGCTCACATCCATCAACTCCCTGCCTTCAGATGACGAGGGCGAAGGTTCCTCCAGAGCCTCCAGTGGACCTGAAGTTGGAGGCAGGAAGTCCAGTGTCTTGGTGCAAGAGCAGAGTCTAGTGTTCTCTGGAGATATCGCTAAAAGAACTGACACAATCGGCCACCCCGAAGTTGTTGTAGATGATTCCCAACTTAGAAAACCCACCTGTGATCTGGAAACGGACCCTAAATTTGCTGAAGCTTCTGAAGTTGGACGGGAGGAAGCAAGTGGATCTGGGACATTAAAAGAATCCCATAGTGAACCCCACACAGCCTGTCCCTCCAGCAACTCTGCCACTACTAGTAGCACTGACCTGGTGAAACGAGGGATGGTAGAAAACTACTTTGGCTCACGCTCCAGCACAGATGTGTCTGAGATCAGTCCTGTAGAAACATCTGCCATCACACTGGGGATCCAGCCAGAGCAGCCGGCTGAGGAGGACGAGGATGAGCCTGAACATGAGATGATTGAAAATGGTTACTACGAGGAAGGTGATGGCTACGCTTTTTTGAACGGTGTTGCTGATGAAGAGCAAACCGGGGATGGAGTCGTTCAAGAGCCATGTCTTCTGTTTGAACAGTTTGGCACTGGTTACCTCCATGAAACAAGGGATTTATCAAAAGCTCCTGGGTGCTCCAGTCTGTCCACCAGCAGTGTTGGGCTTAGTTTGGGTAGATGTTCCTATTCCTCCACCTTCTCTTCCAGCCTGCAGTGGTATGAATGTGCACCCACTTCACAGATGAAAGCGTGAGTCATCTTTTTGTTTACTTTATGACAAATTTTGCTTCATGTAATTTTCAGTGCATATATTTTCATCTTTGACCTTACAAATATTAGTTCTGAATGTATTTCAATGTAAATATTCAGGTTCATCAAGGCCAAAGAAGAAATGAAGCAGTTAAAGCTTCCTGGTTTCATATACAGTGAGGTTCCTGAGCTGGCATCCACTGTGCCCTACTTCAGCTTAGAGGAGGATGAAAGCTCTGAAGAAGGCATTCATCTCATCGTGTGCGTCCATGGCCTGGATGGTGGGACCCTTTTCCATCAAAATCCTTGACAGTAGATTATTTAGCCATTTTCCTTACATTTAAAAACACTTTTTTTTTAAATTGCTGCAGGTAACAGTGCAGACCTGAGGCTTGTGAAGACTTACTTGGAGCTTGGACTGCCTGGTGCACGTATTGACTTCCTAATGTCTGAGAGGAATCAGGTATGTGGATTATAAACTCGGCTTTCAATTGACTGGACATGTATAAACTTGTTATCTGACAAAAGCCTTTAGGCTGTTTTAATAAGCTGAAATACCTCAGTCAGACACACAGTAAAACACAGCCTCTTTGTTCATATGACACACTCTTGATTCACAGAATGACACATTTGCTGATTTTGAGTCGATGACGGACCGGCTGCTGGATGAAATAGTTCAGTACATTCAGATATATAACCTCACTGTGTCAAAGATAAGGTAATACATTCTATATCACTGTAACATGATGTAAATAGATACAGCTTTTTTTTCTCTCAAGGACAAGTTAGTAATTTATCAAATTGCCACATAATGCATTGAAAGTTTATAAATTTGTATTTTTGTTGTAGAAAAGTTACGATTTGTATCCATTTAGCATGTCATATAAAGGTAGGCATATTGTTAGATGGCTAAAGATGGCGCTGATGGCTTCTTATTGACATGTCTCATCTTTCATATTATTAATTTACAGCTTTGTGGGTCATTCATTGGGGAACCTCATAGTTCGCTCAGTCCTAACCAGGCCCCGGTTTAAATGTTACCTGAGCAAGCTGCACACGTTCCTGTCCCTTTCTGGACCTCACCTGGGCACACTGTACAACAGCTCCACCTTAGTCAACACAGGTGAATTAAAATTCAGACACTCTGGCTTCATTTCTCTTAGTCATCAAACTTCTATGTCTGTGTTGATGAGAGCCAAATAAATAAAATGATTAAATCTTTGAACTTTGGGTTTCAGGACTTTGGTTCATGCAGAAGTGGAAAAAATCAGGGTCTCTCTTGCAGCTGACATGTCGTGATAACTCTGACCCCCGCCAAACTTTCCTGTACAAACTCAGCAAAAAATCTGGTTAGCTTTGCTAAAAATAACCACTTTGTTTTTGTTGTTTTGTAGAATGCAGCGTAGCAATTTATAACTCTCTTTTCTCGATCTGTCTTTTAAGGTCTGCAGTATTTTAAGAATGTGGTGCTGGTGGGGTCACTGCAGGACCGCTATGTTCCATATCACTCTGCACGAATAGAGATGTGCAAAACGGCACTGAAGGACAAACAAACAGGTGAGATGAAGCAAAACCACCTGTGGTCTAACCTGTCAGGAGTAAATATAGCTGCCGCTCAGATTTTACATTCTGCAATCTCCAAGAAAACAGATTAGTCTGACACAAAGGCACTGTCTGCCTTTGTAGTTTTATCTTCCCCAAAATATGCGTTTCTGTGCAGCATCCTTGCATACCTGTACGTGCATGCTGAACTTGGGGACAAATGAAGTACTTTCATGCAAATAGTACAGGATTGTAGATTGAAACCAGTGACTAAGCAAACCACAGTCCTACAGTTATTAACAGAACAAAATATTTGCTGCACCTATTGTGTCTCAAAAAGTAAAACGTTGGTTCTGTTTTCATAAGACTATCTCTTGCATCTACATTTCAAATACAGTAGTCCCTCGTTTATCACGGGGGATCCGTACCCTGAAGACCCGCGATAAATGAAAAACCGCGAAGTAGGAATAGTAGTACAAGTAGTAAGTAGTAGTTTATTAAAAGAGCACAGAATGTCGTGATTTCAGCTCCCTGCCTCCTCTGCTCTTTGCCACCTGCAAGAGCTCTTGGCCACGCCCACTTCTTAGCTCTGCATGCTGAACAGCTGATTAACTGCAGTAGGAAGTTTATCCTGCAACTGTAAGGGCTGCACAAAGCTGCAGGAGGAAGCTTTTTCTGCTGCTCTGAGCTGCACAAATATGCAGCAGGTGCTAAATAATTAACATTTTATTTTCAATAAAAATTCCATACCGATCGTGCGGCTCATCCATCATTCAGCCAATTATGTGTCGGGTCCAATCTTATTTTCCCTCAATGCGGACTGAACTTGACAAAAAGGCCTTCTGCTACTCAGCTCCTGCAACCTGGAGCACCTTGCAACAGGAACTGAAGTTGTCCACCTTGATTTGTTTAAGGGGTTTCAAACATTTGACAATGTCAATTGAAAAATCAAAACAAATATGTTCTTGTTTTTAATATTTCACCCTGTTTTACAGCACCCTGATTTATTGTTTTGTACACTACTCTTGTTTTAACTGCATTTTTACCGTCGTTTTTTGTTGTCATTGTCTACTGTTTTGTTGTCGGTACTTTATATGTTCTGTCTGGAACAGGTCCCTCTTGTAAACGAGTCTCCGTGGCTCAGTGAGGCTAACCTGTATAAATAAAGGTTGAATGGAAAAAAACTTCTTTTTTTTTTTTAAACTGTGATAGGCCGAGTCCGCGATAAACAAACCGCGAAGTAGCGAGGGACTATTGTATAGTAAAATTACTTCTGGATATATTGACGAGCACATTTTCCTAAAAATGAACAAAGATTTTTAAATGCAAATCATGGAATTGTTTTTATTATTGCATATGCAAGACAATATATTGGTCTGTAAATCTAATGATGGTCAGCTGCCTTTTTGACTGCATGCACATTCATGTTTTTAAGTCTGTAACATCACAGTTCGTTAAAGATACTTAAGAAGTTTTTGCCTTTTTCTATTATTTACCACCAGGGCCTGTGTATGCTGAGATGATCGAGAACCTGCTGCTGCCAGTACTTCAGAACAAAGACTGTAATCTTGTGAGATACGATGTCATACACGCCCTGCCCAACACAGCCAACTCCCTGATTGGCCGGGCTGCACATATTGCTGTCTTGGATTCTGAGATCTTCCTGGAGAAGTTCTTCCTCGTTGCAGGGCTCAAGTACTTTCAGTAGACCTGTGTCAGAACTAAATACTTGGATATGAGGAATGTGGCACGAATACCTCACTACGGTTAAAGGTTTTTCCCAATAGTGATCTCAATTTTTTATTTTATTTTATTTTATTGTAAATATAACCCAATTACTTTCCAAACACATTTTAACAAAATATTTCTGTTTTATGTTTATATGGATAAGTTGATGGATGTGGAGTTCACCATTTTAATTATTTTTGTTATTAAAAGTTTTCAACATTGATTTTTCTGTTTTTGTTAAGGAAAATAAGTTCCCCCATCTTGTGTTTTTTATTTATTCATTTTTAAACTATTGTACTCCAAGTTAATCAAGAAATTTAATGATGCTGAACTGGAAATGTAGCTGCTACAAAAACTGGAATGGCTGTTTGTGGTGAGCCGGTCCAAAGTTAAGTCTGTACATACTGCACTCTGCATCACTAACGTTTGATCACCAGTTTTAAGAAACTGCATTGATTTGCACCACAACTACATTTTACAAGCTTTTGTACTACAAATGGTCATTTGTAAAAAAAATAATAATTTTGAATCAACCTTTTTCCATCCTTTTCTAAGGCCAATGTTGAAGGATTGTTGCTCAGATTTTGCAGGTTTGGCTTTGATCTCAAGACTATGCTGCTCTTTGCCATTACAGGACTGCACATTTACCCAGCCTGGTGTTGGGAGAAAAGCTTTGACATGACATTTTGTTACAAGGGCCCTCACCGTTGATCATTACTCGGGAAAAGCACATGTTGGTTATATAAATTTGTCATATGAAAGTATTTGGTTGATCATTTCGTGATAATTTATGTTTTAAACTGGAAAGTATTAGTCGGATTTAGAAAATGTTTCCTAGTTATTTATATATAAATATATCATTGTACTTTATCATTAAATATGCATATTTTAAAGTAGATAACGTATTTTTTGTGCTGATTTTGAGTTTTTTGATTGTTTTTTTTTTTTTTTTTGGGGGGGGGGGGGGGTCTTCAAAAGGTTTAGTAAACTGGGGAGAAAGAAAGGTCTGAAATTATGCTACAATGCCCATCAATACACTTTTATCTAACAAATTTAAAGTGTGGTCCTTTTATTTTATAAAAGAAAAAATGGTTTATCTACTTTACTATTTTGTAAAGTCAAGTTTTGATTGTTTATTTATATAACCAACAAAGTCCATGCTCAATAATCCAGGTATACAATCCAACAATTTTCAGTCAGGTCGTCTGGACAGTTTCTTTTTTATTTTTTAATTTTATTTTTTATTCTTTTTTTCTTTTTTTTTTTGTGTGCTGAAGCGTTTCACCTTCCATCCAGGATCACAGGATCAGACCTGGAAAGCCGCCCGGATCGAAGGCGAAACGTTTCAGCACAAAAAAAGAAACTGTCCAGATGACCTGACTGAAAAATGTTGGATTTTATACCTGGATTATTGAGCATGGACTTTGTTGTTTTCAACCAGTTTGAGAAGACTGCCAACAAGGAAGAGGGCCGCCAATGGAGGAGGGGTGTACCAAAGAGACCATCTTATCACAAGCAGAACTGGTTTGTTCCACTTTGGAGTAAGCTGTTGGAGGAAGAATCAGTTTTGTTGTTTCCTTGACTGATGAAGCCTTCTGGATCGAAGGCAAAACGTTTCAGCACAAAAAAGAAACTGTCCAGATGACCTGACTGAAAAATGTTGGTTCATTTATGTACTTTCTTACTCAGGGGAGCACTAAAAGTTTTATTGATTCTGTTTTATTGCAATTTTATTTCACTTTGGGGTTCTTTTCCTATATAATTGCCTTGATTTTGCAGCAGGTTAAATGACCCTACAGGTGGCAGCATTATCAAATGTGATCTCATCATTGGAAGTCCCAAAGTGAACACGAATTGCAGTATTTTGGTCATAACTTAAGTCCAAACTGAATACGCTTTTGTAATAGGTTTTTGTTTTTCTTTCTTTTGTACTGCAAGTATTCCCCAGTAAAACTTATGTCACTATTTTGGTGCTGCCCGTGCACATTAAATATTAAGACATTTTTTTAAACGGTCAAAATAAAAAAGTACTCTTGGATTTCTTCGGATGATTCAGCAGCGTAAACAGTAAACGCATGTCCCAATCAACGCTTGCGCCAGTCCCACTAATTAGCACGACTCATCGTGCTGAGGCAAATAAGGGGGTAATATAAATTCTGCTAATTTTTATGTTGTTTTAACGAGGTATTTATGAATAAAATTAGAAATTATGTTTCCTTAAATATTATTATTCTCACAAATTATAAAGCATGTATTAAACACTGCATTAAAGTCTTGCTAAAATGTCCGATATTAGCACAAAAAAGCACAACGCACCCCCATAGCTGATCCCAGATGGTACAGTCCGGTCGTTGGAGCTTCAGGGTGGTGCGCGAGACTCTTGCAACACACGACGAGAAAGAACGACGAGAAAGGCGCATTCAGGATCGTTCTAACTTCTGTCATTATTTAATTTTCTTTTAAAAAGTTATTTAAAATTCACTGAGACTAACCACAAGGGAAATTAAAGTTTCTTCGCTGTTATTGGTGGTAAGTAACGCTTCTAACTCGACTTGTTAAAAGTATAAATTTTGGTTTTGTTAACCAATTACCGCATTTTTTCATAAACCGTTTTAGCTAGTTTTATGTTGTTTTTCATTTACCCAGTGTTATTTAAGTAAACCTAAAACTTCAGAAGTCCCCAAGTTATTTCACTGTTTTAAACTTTTAGTCAAATCTGCTCCCCTAAAACAAAACAATATCGACTTTATTTATTTATTTATTTTTAATTATGTGTGAACACGGTGTTCCTTATGCTAATATCCTCCCTATGCTTATTTCGTATTTTTTCCTAATAGTGTGGTTTTTAGGGCAGCGAAGATTCCTGATGCCTAAGAGAGCTTGCAAAGTGCAGAGACAGGTGATGCTGTTTTTTAGGCAGCACAGTGAGCTTCAAAATAAGGATTATAGTCGTCTTGGAGGGGAATTAAAGCCCACAGATGGCTGCTTTCATGTGATGCCAGGTTTGTTTCTTGTCAGCATCAGGGAGTTGTTTAAAGATGTCAGCAAACGTGGTTCAAACTGATGATGAGCTTGTTTTTTTGCTGCTGTATGCTGCAAACAAGTTCAACCAAGCAAGTGAACAAGTTCCAGAGTGATTTTGTTGCAAAATTTAAGTTTTAGTCACAACTTGTTTCAAGAGGCTCTAATAATACCACAGGAGCACAGTGCATATAATTTATAATACGTGTATACATTTCTTGAATGGGTTTCATAGTTAAAACAACATAAGACATCTCTAAAACTCGTTGTTCAAAGTGCAAAAACTGCAACTAGTTTACATGCTTTCCCACACCGCTTTTTTCTTGCATACTGCTTATTTTATAAAGGGAGCAGATTTAACTTGTGTATTAGTTTAGCTTACATTACAATATAATATGCAAACCAATAATGAAATGTGTCCCAACCGTATTATTATGTTAAATCTTATTCAAATCAACATAAAATGCTTTTGATGTACAGTTCAGATTTGTTCCATTTATCAGTTTTTCTGTGGTAACGTGACGTTCAGCATTACTGTGTCTTAGGTCAGATGTTCATGCTACTGGAATTTCAGGTTTATTAATGTCTGTTTGTGCTGACACCCAGTCATCGTCGAGGTTGTGTTTGAACATGCCCAAAAATCGGATTCGGTAGGACTCTGTAAGCTTGTAAGAAAACTTGCTTTAGTGGTTCACGTAACTTGTTTTGCACACTGGCAGTACCTCACTTTTTGTGGTTTTTATCACATTTTGTCAATCGCGTGTATCTTTTTTTTTATCTTGACTGTGAAAACTAACCTCCCAGTTGATGTACGACAACCACAGGAATGAAGATTACACAATTGCAGCGAAATGATATGGCCAAAGAAACAGCAGTTTGCCAAAGCATTCATGTTTTGCATTTATAAACTATTTATTTATTTATTTATTTGAAAGCCTGTTACTTTAGTCACTGAACAGTTATTCCCAGTTTTGTTTTGTTTTTGTCCAGCGTAGGATTTAAAGGGATCGAGTCGGCACACAGCAGCAATTAACCAGATTAATTGATTCTTAGACGTACCAGTTGGGGCTTTGGGTCAGATTCAGGCGAACCTTGGCGGCTTATGGACTGATCTCTGCCATGGTCATCTCTGGTGGCGTGTTGAGCACAGTCTGCTTGAAAACAAAGAAAACTTTGCTGCAAAGTTAGGTTTGATTGATGTGTTTGAAAATTTATTTATGATAAAATTTTCATTTAATTCCCCCGTATTAGATAAACTGAGTTAATCCAAGTTGTTTGGACACATATCTGATAATGGGATCGTCTTACTGATGCAGTCTTTTTGCAATAGCAGTGCTGAAAATCACACGGTACACGGAAATACTTTGGTGTGAGCTTACATGCGAGTTGACTTTCCTAAATTCAGATGTGTTTTAATAACACTAACTCCTTCCATTTTATTATGGTCATCTTTCTTGTCTTAATATCTCTTCAGAAGCAGCATGGATGAAGTGGGCTTGAACACATAAAAAGCGAACGACAGAAGAAGCGGGAATAAAACAACCTGTGAAGCATTTCGTCGCACAGACGGCACTTGTGACAGACGCCATGTCTACGTCTGCCAAGCAGGAGCGAACCATTTGTGTTCTCCTGCCCAACAAAAAACAGTTGGATGTCACTGTTGGGGTAGGCTTACTTCCCTGAATGTGCTTTTCACCGTCTTCTAGAGATTTAAACTGTGCTTTCTTTATCACTGAAAGGATAATAAGTAAATTTTTTCATCTTTTTTTTCCTTTAATTTGCTTCAGTTAAAGTCTACAGGACAGGATGTTTTTAATCATATTTTGGAACTTCTTGGAATCAAAGAGCTACACTTCTTTGGCCTCACCGTGGTGAAAGGTGAGTTCACTGTGTTGACCCTGAACCTGAAAGGACAAAGTGTTGCTTACATGCGACTCTTGTTTATGTATCTTTGGTAACAACTTTTCTACCATTAGACCATTTCACCAAAACAAAAATAATTATCCTGCCCTGCTACTTTGTATAATTGATTTTTATAATCCACTTTAGCCACAGAGCAAAGTCCTGAGCTTTCTGTTTCTAGTGTTTCTGTTTTACAAACATGTTAAAATGCCTCAGTAATCTTGTGTGGTTCGCCACCTAAACAAACAGCCTTTTGTTTTGTTTTTTTGTGGTGTTGGTCCAGCGATCACTCGGGCTTGGATTCCTGCAATAATAACTTCATTAATCCTGGAATGCACTCTTGCATTCCTCTGCTTCACTGAGGAGGGATGGGTTGATGACGGGAAGAGGAGGGTGGGAGTAGAGGTAAAAAAAATATATTCTGGGGAAATTGTCATGACACAGGCTGCCTGACTCAACTGTTGCTCAAAAGCCGTGATGTGGGAGGAGAAGTGAGGGAGCTGGGGTGAGTCAAGAGTGGGAAGGAGGTGAGATGGATGGTGGAAGGAGCGAGTTGGGAAATCTTTCGGTGAACATGTTTGGTTGAATGTAAAGGATGAAGTCGTTCAGATAGGGAATGGTGATGTCACGACTCGGAGCCTTGAAGAGAGTGGTACCACATTCTCATGCTCGGTGCAAGTGGCAAATAGCTTTTTATAGATTTAAGTCCCGTTTGTTTGAACTAAAACAACATTAAACTTAGACAGTTTTATTATGGATATCTAGCATGTTAAGTACCTATGTTTACATGTTTCAAAGTGGTGGTTGTAATTAAAAATGGATGCATAAACATTGTTGTAGCACCCCAACATTTTTCAGTCAGGTCATCTGGACAGTTTTTGTGCTGAAACGTTTCGCCTTCGATCCAGAAGGCTTCATCAGTCAAGGAAACGCACAACAAAACTGATTCTTCCCCCAACAGCTTATTCCAAAGTGGAACAAACCAGTTTTGCTTGTGATAAGATGGTCTAGACCATCAGATTTGTTGTGTGTTTCCTTGACTGATGAAGCCTTCCGTATCGAAGGTGAAACGTTTCAGCACAAAAACGGAAACTGTCCAGATGACTTGACTGAAAAATGTTGGATTGTATACCTGGATTATTGAGCATGGACTTTATTGTTGTAGCACATTGTTGTCATGGCTTTCTGTTAACCTTATTCAAAAAATGAAGAACAAGGTGTTTTTCTTTCTCCCTCTCTCTCTCTCTCTAACCCTAATGAACCCTGGCTCATATTTGGCAGATTTTATGCTCTGTTATTTTTTTGTTTTGTTTTCTTGCAGCCTTGTTCCCCACCTCCCTGATTATTTATTTCCATTTTAGACAATGAGCACATATTTATAGACCTGGAAGAGAAACTGACGAAGTACTTTGCCAAGGATTGGAGGCAGGATTCAGTAAGGGTAAGACACAACAGATTTTGATCTCTTCAATGTGAAGATTGTTGGTTTAACCCACTTTCAGAACTATTAGATGAGTCTGTTAATTGGGGGCTGGAGATTCATGGCCTACATGCTGACCTGTTTTTGTTCAGCATAACAAAAAGATGGCACAGACTATTCTGACCTCTCTTTTTGCAGGGATCACTGAGGAGACCATTTCCACTGCTACTTTTCCTCAAAGTGCAGTACTATGTTGAAAATGGGAGACTATTTTGGTACGTCTTTATACATTTGTAGTGTTTTATTTTTGTTATTCTTGGTTTTATAGCATTAGCGCTTAGTTCCAATCATTGTTTTTTTCCATAAGTTGTGACATCTGTGATTTTTCTGTTTGTGTGGCACCAGTGAGCGAAAGGCACGACATCTGTACTACTGTGACTTGCGGGAGCGAGTGCTCCGCTCTGAATGTCGTCAGCAGGAAGAAGTGTATTTCCAGCTGGCAGGTTACGCTCTGCAGGCTGACCTCGGCGATCACCCCCTACAGAAAGAGAGTGTGGAGGTCACTCCTTACTTTGAACCAAAAGATTACTTTCCCCCCTGGGTATGTGTTATTTAGTAGAGGCAAATTTTAGAAAGAAAAAAAAACCCTGAAGTGTTTACTTTTTTAACTCTTTAACTTTTTGAGTTGTGTGAACACTTCTGTTTATTTTTTCTGCAGATTGAAGCTAAACGAGGGATGAATTATCTCCTCTGCCACGGGCCCAAGGTTCACCAGGAGCTGTGGGGAATGTCAACTCGTGACGCCATCCTCTCTTTCATCAGAGACGCGTGTCAGTTGGAGGATGTACCTGTCACATTTTACAGATTGCAAAAGGTGCAAAAGTTATTCCTTTAAACAAATGGCCTTTCTATTTGCATGATTAGGACGTTGGATTAAGTTTCAGTTTTGTTTTCCTTCTGGTAAAAATTGAACAACTGCAACTCAAAATGCTTAGTTTGGTTTCATTTCAGCTCTATTGAACAAATAACCAAGAGTAGTTATCGAACCATCCAACTATTCATTTTTCATTGTGAGTAACTCATTTACTGGGTAATATTTCGAAAGCTGCTCCAGCTACTCTGTAAATTAGGTGTCATCATCAGCTCAGTATGAGCTGGGGGGGGAGGATTAACTGTGAAAGAATTATCTTATCTGAGCCACTCGGATGCCTTTCTGACACTTCATCTCTCTTCCTGTTTTTAGGACAAAAAGGAAGAGAAAGGAATGGCGTTGCTTGGTCTGACTCTGAGAGGAATGCAGGTTTATCAGGTGCGTGCGTATAGGTGTGTGCGTTCTTATTACACAGCACATTGTCGGCACGTATGTACACAAAGTTGCTCTGCGTTGGGTCAAAGATTCAGTCTTTGTCTGAAGTGCTAATAAACTCTGACTAGCTGTGTGAAGAATGTGTAGGATTGCCACTGTCAGGAGATAGCTGCCTGCTGTGCCTGTCTGTTGTTTGATCTGTCCATCAGGGGCCATCTGGGAGTGGGGGGGGATTAGTATGCCAGGTCTGCCTGATTTGAAAGCCAACAGACCATGAGATATCTTGAAGTCCTTGGGTGTTTTTAGTCCAGATGGTTCTGAAAAATAGAAACTTATGTAAACCTTATTTTGACATCCTTTTAAGCAGATTATGTCGTCCACATTCAAAAATCTGTTCATTATTGTGATCGTAGGAGGTAAACAACACGCGGCAGCTGCTATACGACTTCCCCTGGTCACATGTTGGACGTCTAACTTTCCTGGTATATTTCATTTGCTTATCTTCATTTATAGTAAACCTTAAGTGGAGTTCTTGTAATTATTTAATGACCATTTTAAATTTAAAATATTTTCCCATTCAGGGTAAGAAATTCGAGATCCAGCCAGATGGATTGCCATCAGCCAGGAAGTTGGTGTACTACACTGGTTCATCGTTTCGCTCTCGCCACCTCCTTCTGCACCTGAGCAGCAGCCATCAGCTTTATCTGAGCCTCCAGCCTGCCCTGAGACACCTCCGTCAGTTGGAGGCAAGCAAAGGTGGGCCAGGGAGAAGTTAAGGCGAGGATAGTGTGACTGTATCCAGCAAAATACCTAATTTTCATTTATCCAAGTCCAACAGAGAAATGTGCTGTATTGTATTTCTGTAATAAAAGCTTTTAAGTGTACGTGTGTCCCAGCAACTCCAAGCAAATCAGGGAAAACTCAATGAATTTTGTTTTCATGGAATGCTGGGAACCCTGCGTAACGTTGTCTGCACTGCCTTGTTTAAACAAAGGTTTAGTTGTGATGACCCGCAAAGACAAGTTTTCCTTTTTACCCTAACTAACACACTTTGTTGCATCCGATAAAATGTCAGCTTTTAGGTCTCTTTAACCACGTTAGGTGTAATTTTTTGATGTACGTTTTATTATTCTCACTTTTTTTTTTTTAAGCAAATTTTCTTTATTTTAGACAAGAAGTGTTATAGAGAGTCGTACATCAGTGACGACCTGGATTTGGATCCACCAGGCAGTGAAAGCAGCCCTGGTTTGTCTCGCCACTCCACCGGCAGCTCCGGTATTGAAGCAGATGCCCGTCAACACAGCATCTACACAGAGGTGACCTCCATGGAGGGCGAGGGTCAACAGCAGGGAGAGAAGTGTTTGAGCCCAGCGACCAGCCACAGCAGCTCCTGCACTTCTGGATCTCACACGTGCAGCAAGACTGGAACCGAAGATCAGCAATGGCGAGGAGATGGTGAGAATAATTCACCGCTGTGTTCATGATGCACAGCAGCTGCAGGTTGTTTGTAAATGTGAACTAAATCAGGTGTTCTAACTTGATTCCAGAGATCAAGGCTCGTGTTGGAAGTCCAGATGCTCTTTATCCTGATGTGATGTTCCAGTTGGCTGATCTTCTTGAGGGAGTTTCAGTGGATTGTCCAGAATTCTCCTCAGAACCTCAGTCACCAGGTACCAGTAAAGAAACTGTCCTCATCCAACTTTTGTAAATTAATCTGCTTGTATTCTGAAACTGTGTGTGTTTGGCTCCACAGAAGACAATGGGTGTCCTGCAGACAGTGACACTAGGCTGTCGTCGAGCAAGAAAATATTAAAACAGGTTTCTTTACCTTTTTGTATAACAATAGAATTCTTGTATTTCCTGAGTCTTTATATTTACACGCCGTCTTCTAATTTATCCTAGATACTGAAATCCAAAGGTCAGGTTGGTATGGATCGGCACAGCCACAGTCTAGATGATGTTTGTCATTCCACACCTCCTGCACCCCTTGGGATGGCGCTGCCACTCGATTCTTCTCACAGCTACACCTTTGGGCTCCCAGATGTCACGCCAAACACTGAGACTTCTTTTGATCACACTTATTACCCCCTTTTGCACTGCGGGTCCAAACCTACCTTTTATGGCCGCAGGTCTAACAACTGCCTCTCCTTGGACACATTAAATGATGACCAGTTTCTGGAGTTCATTCTCTGAACAGGCTCATCCCTGACGAACTGTTTCTTTATTTACAAATGAACTTATGTCCTGTGAAAGTCTGTGATTGAGTCATCTTATTACAGAATTGTTATTCAAAACAAAAAGACTTTGCATGCTTCCTCCAAAAGGTTGTGGGTTCAATAGGAATGCCATATAGCAACAGTTCACTGAGTAAACATATTTATTAAATGTGTATAGCTTGTACATATGACTTGCACTATTACTAGCTGTATTTACAAGCTGACCTAAACGACTCGAACTAAAACATACTTGGTCCAATTCAGTGTTTTTGTAAAGTCCACATTATTAAAATGCTATGAAATGTTTCATTAGATGAGCTTCAAGTGCTTAAAATGTTGAAATGTTCAATCTGTCTCTGCTGCATTGGACACTTGGAAGATGTGGATCAGATTTTTTTGTTATTGTTTTGTAAACCATTTTTGCTACATTAAGAATTTACAAAACCCATTGCGCAAATGATTGTAATTCTGATTTTTTTTTTTAAGTCAATATATTGTTTTGTGTAGTGTGTTCTGTCATGTATTTCCTGTTTAGTCTTCAAAGGCTGATGTGGAAATGTTGACCTTTTCACAGCTGGCCATGCATTCATCCAAAGTTTTCCTTTTCTGTACAAGCCTCCGGTTTGTTTTTAATTATAAAACAAAAAGTATTAATTGTAGAGTGCTATTTCTGTATTCGGTAATCTGCAGCACTTTTTTTTGTATTATGTAACGAGAACAAAAAAGCCTTTCTGAAAATATCTGAGGAAAAATATTTGCAATTTTATATTTGGTGGTTTAAAATGGCCAGTAGAAAATACTCATTAAACGTAAAAAGGCCAATTTTGACAGTGCTGATATATCTTTTATAACGATTTAAAAAAATAAATTTATATTACAACAGAAATAAAGCGGTTTTTCGTTTCGTTGCTGTATTACTTTTGCTTGTGAATGTTTTCAGCATTAGCCAAATCTACCCCAAACGGGTAAGTCTGCAGACGAATAGGCGTTCCTAAAGGAAGGCGTATCTCAAGTGTTACACCTGATTGGACGAAATAAAATAAGGCGTTACTCAAGGGCCGCACCTGATTGGACCATAAAATTATCGTACTAACATCTCGCGAGAGTTGACGAAGACGTTTACGGAAGTTTACATTCTGTTTCGGGAAAACGTGCTGGTGAGCTGATAAGGCCGGTTGCTTAGTATCAAAGTTTGCTTGTTCTGAACAGTGACATTCAAACATGCATTCGGTTTTAATGAAGGCGGTTCTGGGCAGTTCACCCGACTACGATCTGTTGTTTGACTCTCTTTGTTGGACGGGAGAGGCGTCTTGTTGGCCGGAGACGGAGCGGGTGGAGGCGCTGACAACTCTCATTGAAGGACTAGGACCTCTAATGTCCGACCCCGATTCAGCTGGACTTACAGATGAGAAGAAACGCAGCATTCACGAAAAAATCGAGTCGGTCATCTGGTCGAAGTGCCTGCCCTTTCTGTCCAGAATATCCGCAGGAGCAGACGATGAAACGCGCTGCAGGGAGAGCACGGCGGCCGCCTGCAGGCTCCTCCGTGCCTGCGTCTCCCTGCGCGGTGAAGACGTGCAGAAGAGAGTTGCTCTCTCCATCCTGCAGTCCTTCCAGCCGTCAGACGATGAGCTGGCTCGGGGACATCTCAGTGTGCAGGTCGCCACTGAAGTTTTAGCAGCTCTCATGCCTTTTCTCACCGCGGATGACCAGCTCACATTCAGCACCTTGACCTCCGCCTTGTCCTCCATCAGGTCGCTCCCGGACGCGCCGCTGGTCTCCAGAATCACAGTGCGGGTTGTTTTAACTTTGTTGAACTGCTGCAGCGGTGGTGGGAGGCTTTCCAGCATCCTGGAGCGCATCCTGGATGATGTGTGCGGCTGGCACTCCTCTGAGCGCAGCCCGGGGGCCACGGAGAGGGCCCTGCTGTGCTTCACCGTCCTGTCAGACCACCTCCTGAAGCCCCGTGGCTCCCCGGACCCCCGGCTCTCCATTCAGTTCTGGAGGGTCGTTCAGGACGGACTGATCCACAGAGACAGCGTGTCACGTAAGAGGGCACTGTACCTGCTGAAGAGGAGCGCTGCTCTGTCTGAGGAGGAGGGGGTGCACTGCCCCCACTCTGCATCAGAGGAGGGTAAAGAAAACCATCATGGCAGCTTTAACCTTCTGAACCGTTTTCATAACAGAGTTTGTGACACTTTTGCAGAGGAGGTGTTGTTCAGATGGGCCCCTGATAAGAGCAGGCTGCTCAAGGAGTTCTGGGAGGATTATGTTTTGGTGATGGAGACTCTGGAGGAAAACCAGGTGAGAATTAAAAATCTTGCATCCCCCTAAAATAATTCATGTTATTACCTGCTGAGGTTTTTTCTCCCCTTTTTCATGCCAGGTTCATGTTGTCCGGCCAGTTTTAAACAGAATAGATTCTCTGATCCAAACGGCAGTGAATGACAGTCAAGGTAACAGAGATATTGTTTAGATAAAAAAAGATCAAAACCTTTTTTTTTTTTTGTTATTTATTTTAAATATTACCTCCCACCTTTTTTGGAAGTGTAAGTGTTGTGTGCTTTAGCTTCAGGCCGGGGCCTCCTCCACCCGTCCTGGCTGCTGTGTGTGTATCAGCGGATGTTCCACAGTGAGAATAAATCCTTAATGAGAGAAGGAGTGGGCCATCTGCTCGAGCTGCAGGTCCTCCAGCAGCCCCGCTTCGCCTCAGGTTTTTCTCAGGTTCAAGATTCATTTTTCCGCAGCGTCATGTTTAACAGATATAACCCACATGTTATGACGTCGATTCAAACAACCTTTTTATTTTTGCGTTGCAGTTTGTCGTCGGTCCATTTATGGACGCGCTTTCTGAAACGTCACTGTTCTGCAGGTGAGGAATTTAAGTCGTCCGTCTTGTTTAGTGCAGGGGGCAGCTGGTGTCTGTCTCCAGCTGTGCGACAGCCAGGGGAGACACCCTGGACAGGCTGCAAGTCCATCACAGGGACACATAGAGACAAACGACCATTCGCACCCACGTGTAGGGACAAGGGGGAACAAAATGCACGCAGAAAGACCTCTGTTTTTGTCCACATGTAGGTCAGCTGATCAGAGCGTAGGAGACTGTCCTGAGCTGGCTGTGAAACTCCAGGTCTTCATGTCCACCTTTTTCAGCAGCCTGCCATCAGAAGAGAGAGGTGCAACACAAGAATACAATGAAAGCTGTGATTTATGTGACAGGATTAAGTTGTGCATTTAGTCCTAGCTGTTTGATCTGTACAGGTCACGTGTTGCTCCAGCTGATCCAGCAGCTGGGCTCTAAGCACTGGTGTGCAGTACCCCTTCTCTTTGTCTGTCAGGCTCTGTCCAAACTCCCCCCGAGTCCTCTGCTGACGAGCAGCGGGCTCTCTGCTCTCAGGTATTGTGTTTAGAGTTAGCACAGGGTTGACTTTTTTTTTTAAGCTTAGCAAGAAGGCTGATGTTGTGCCTTTTGTCTTGCAGAGAGGTGCTGCGCTGCACCATGATCACTCATCAGGTCCTGCTGAGAGGAGCTGCTCAGTGCTTTCTGCTGAACAGCGCCCTCTCTCTGACAGCAGTGGTAAGACAACAACAGAAACGCCCTCAAAATAAATAGAATAGAATAGAAACAGCCTTTATTGTCCCACGGATGGGAAATTCCAGTGTATCAGCAGCAACAGATAAAAAAGTTCACACAAAAGTTCCTAAATGTTAATAAACAATACAATATATAAGAAATAAGATAAACAATATCAATAATGTTCAATATGTATTGGAACATTGAGAATGGCAGACTATTTACAGTACAGTATTATAGGCAGAGTGTGTGTTTGACAAATGACATCAATGAAATGACATCTTATTTAAAAGGTATTTATACATAAAGTATTAAATGTCTTGAACAAGTGTTTGCCACAGTAAACATACTGTTGGGCTGCTTTCATTAAATCGCTGATGCACCAAAACCGTATGAATCGTGCTTTAACAAAGAATTGATTAGTAAACATGAGAAGTAATGATTAGCATATCATGCTATTTTAAATTGTTCATTCAAGAAAGGAGTTAAAATGTTAACGTTGGACCTCAAATTAAATGTCTAATTTCTACAGTTTTTATTATTTTTTATTTTTTTTATTGAATTGGCTAGTTGCTTGATATTTGTTGGAAAGCCACAAATAAAACAATAAAAATTCACATCTGGTTAAATCAGAGCTTTGGATAGTCAAACTGTCTGCAGGACTGTTTGGGTGAATTTTAAGATTTTTCATGACTTGATTTATTTTTCTAACATATAACATATAAAGGTAAATAAATAAATAAAATCCTTGTTTGTTTTATTCTAGAGTGAAGTGACCTTAGATGACGTGTTTATTTTTCTGACACATTTCCGTGCGGATGAATCGTTGTGTAGAGGGACGGAGCTCTGGAGCCAGGTTTGTTGTTGACACATGTGTTGAATTGGTCTGTCACGATAACAAATTTTACTGGGCGATTAATTGTCTACGAAAATTTTGTGATAAACGATAATATTATTTGAAGTTTGGCAATAATTAGTAATTATTGTCAAATTTAAGAAGAAGTGTTTAATTTGTTTTGAGTGTAGTACCTTTTTTGACCACGGGACGGCAGTATAAGACTGTTTGAACAGAAGGATGGATAGTGAGGGAGTGAGCAGCGTGTCTCTTTAAGAAAAATGGAAGGGAGGCCCTTTGACTGATGTGCTGTCTCCGGATCTCAAAATGGGGGACGCTCATTGTGGTTTGAGCTCTTTAGCATATAATTTTTCACACAAAGCTTTTAATAAAAAAAAAAATCAGTAAACAAGTTCTCAGCTTCTTTTTGCAAATAAAAACAACTTTTTACACAAAGGCACCAGTTTCAACCGTGAATTTTGGAGCTTCGACAAGACGGAGGGTTTTTTTCCCCCGAGGTCAGCCTGTTAGCTTAGCTTGTAGCTTAGCTTCTCAGTTTAGCTGCTTTTAACAATCCAAAAACACGATTTTGGCCGTTTATATTTTAAAGAGAAAGGGAGGGGTCAGTGAAGAACACCGGAGTAGAGCCTTTTGTCATCCAGTGTCTTCAATAGAAAGAGAGAGACACGAAGAAACGATAAAGCCGCTAAATAAAAATGAGGTTGATCATTTTAATTTGTCATGCGTTTAATTGATTTATTGTTTATCGCGACAGGCCTAGTGTTGAAACCATCAAATTCATCCCTTTAAATGTTTTGTTTCAGACGCTGTGAGTTCAACCAATCATTACTTTAAATGTTTGCAGCTGTGTTCCTGGTTTTTGGAACATGAAAACGGTTTTAAATCCAGATTATTCGATGGAGATTGCACTGATGCTGCCACAAAAAAGGAAACTGTCAGAGCTTACGTTCAAAGCGAAATACTCTCCTATCTCCGGGTTCCAGCAAGCACGGGTAATTCTGCTGCGATACATTATTTAAAAGATTAACTGTATCTGTTGGCGTGAATGTTCTGATATGATGCTCGTCTTGTTGTCCTGCAGGTCAGACTGAGAGGTTACCCGACTGCAGGGAGGCTGATAAGCTGGCCACATCTGTCCTGGTGTGTGTGGACATGGAGAGGAGCCGCCTGGGAGCAGAGATCAGCACCTTCCTGGAGTCTCTGCTGTCGCCCCTGCTGGACACGCTGAGCAGACTCAGCACCAATATCTACCTGCCTGTACGGAAGAGCGATAAGAGCCTGCAGCTCCTGCTGCGACTGCTGCAGATCAGAGCCGAGCCACGCTGTCAGCGAGCAGGAAGTGAGGAAGGTCTGACCTTAGCAAACACTAAAACAACTAAAACTGTCCGTTTTGTTTTCCTTAAATTATGATGTTTGTGTATTTCACCGATTATTACCTCAGGCTGGATGTTTTAGAGCAGGGGTGCCCAATACATTGATCACGATCTACCAGTCCATCACAAAGGCATTTTGGGTAGATCTTCTTCTTTCGGCTGCTCCCTTCATCAGGGGTCACCACAGTGAACTAATATGCACAAATGGGTAGATTATGTGTAGATCAATTGGCATAAAAAAAAGACGTCAGCCTGTCATCCATCCTTACTATGAAATTTGTCACTTGATTGACATACAGGGTAACCAGTCACATCCCTCATTTTCTCAAACCAGGTCTCAGAGTGGAGATTTTAGAGGACCCCACCCCCCACCCCCCACCTTCACCATGTAGGAGCAAAACTAATACAATCCAGGGTCCAAAGAGGCGTTAGTGTATTCACCAGTTTGGATGTAACTGTGATCATGCAAACGCTGCATGCACAATGAATGCTGCTGAGCCCCATCTGGGTTGCCAGATAAATTTAAAATGTCTTATTTACCCTTTTCTGTGCACATGTTCAACAAACACAACACACACCTCATTTTAGAATAAATTTACTCAGCACATATGACAGTTTAGGTCAAAATTATATCGTTTTAAAGCCACGATACTATAGTTCATAATTACTTATCTGGCAACCTGACTGAAATAGAACCTACAGAGTTTTTCATGGAAACTGGATAATTTTTTGTTTATTACTCCAAACAAACATTGAAAAAACACTGTTTCCAGAGGTTGTTCTCATGTAAACGGGACCTTATTGTAGGTAGATCACTTTGACTGGGTCATTTTAAAAGTAGCTCGCATGCTGAAAAAGTGTGGGCACCCCTGTTTTAGAGGATATTTTGTTCAAATGAAATTTAAACGTGAAAATCAAACAAATGTATTCAAATTTACTCTTTAAAACTTATAAAGAGCATAATAATGGCCTTTTAAAGTTTGAACTATTACTCTTTGAGATGTTATTCTTTCATTTTCTTTTTCATCTGTTTCACAGGAGATAATGTGATTGTTGCCTTGGAAAAGCTGTTTTCTAAACATGCCGATTCAATCCAGGAGTTTATCTTGAGGCGGCTGTGTGGGGAACTGCAGGAGGTAAACTGCCATCATCATCTTCATCCAATTTACTACAGCGCCTTTAGTGACGTCTGAATGTCATCATTCTTTACCAGCTGTTTGACGTGGAGCGAGCAGAGCTCTATCTGTGTGTCCTGAGGCAGCTAGTTCGCATGTGCTGCAATAAAATTCAGCCGACTACTTTCCCTAAACTCATCAAGCACAGCCTTGCAGTCTTGCAAGAACCAACCCAGCAGGTAACGCCATCAAATGCATTCGACTCATTTTCAGATCGTCAGCTTGGCTGTTCAACAATGACTGCTTGTTGTTGTTTCCAGGTCTCGTCTGGGACAAATCAGGTGACCAGAGCTGTCAGTATGGCGTCCCTGGCCACTGTCTGTGGTTTTATGGAGGAGGAAGGGATTGGCGTAAAATCTGAGGTCCTTTCTGCTCTCAAACCACTGAACCATTACTTCTATACTTCGACAACGTCCCCAGAATGTCCGTCATCTCTGGGAAACATCAACAAATGTCTCATTAAACCGCAGCTAATAGACTGCTCAACGTTAGTGGAAATCTACGTCATCGATTGAAATGTTATTTCAGAAGAGAGCATTAAAAATGGCATGTTTTTCTTTTTACTAGCGACCTAGAAGCACAAGGCTTTCTGCAGCAGGACTGGGGTCGCGTCGCAGCCCACTTCATGTGGGATCAGTGGATTTGTCTGAGCTTCCTGATTAAAGCTGTGGGGATTCCCGAGGCTGCGGAGAATTCCAAATCATCCGAGACTCTCGGTGCCGCTCTGAGCTGCAGCGTCGAGGCTCTTTCTCTGCTGCCCAGTGACCTGGTGCTGCCTGCGCTCCACTTCATGAAAACACTGATGCCACAAGTGAGTCACAAGTTCAGCAACAGTCTGACGTTTGACGGCAGCTGAAGGTTGGTTTGTTGCAATAACCAGACAAATTCCTTTTTCACTGAGAGCACTGAGTGCTGGATAACTGCCGAAATTTGATAAAGAGGCTGAAACTGAGTTGTTAAAGCTAAAAGAAGCAAAATAGTAGCTAGAAGCTACAAGTAGCTAATTGGTAGCTAAATGAAAAGCAGCAAAATGTTAGCTAAATATGGTAGCAAAAGGGTGGATAGGAGATAAAAATAAGCAAGACTAGCTAAAAGTGGCAAAAGGCTAACTACAGGAAAACGGCAGCTAGAAGCTAAAAGTAGCACATTGGTAGCTAAATGAAAAGTAGCTAAATATGGTAGCAAAAGGGTAGATAGGAGCTAAAAAAGCAAAAGTTTAGTTAAAAGTAGCAAAAGGCTAACTAAAGCAAAGTAGCAAAATGGCATCCATCCATCCATTTTCTTCCGCTTATCCGGGGTCGGGTCGCAGGGCTAGCAGCCTAAGTAGGGAGGCCCAGACTTCCCTCTCCCCAGCCACTTTGTCCAGCTCCTCTGGGGGAATCCCGAGGCATTCCCAGGCCAGCCGAGAAACATAGTCCCTCCAGAGTGTCCTGGGTCTTCCTCTGTGTCTCCTCCCGGTGGTACGTGTCTGGAACACCTCACAGGGAGGCGTCCAGGTGGCATCTTAACCAGATGCCCGAGCCACCTCAACTGGCTCCTATCGACGTGGAGAAGCAGCGGCTCTACTCTGAGTCCCTCCCAGATGATCGAGGTTCTCACCCTGTCTCTAAGGGAGAGCCCAGACACCCTGCGGAGAAAACTCATTTTCGGCCGCCTGTATCAGAGATCTCGTTCTTTCGGTTACAACCCAAAGCTCATGACCATAGATGAGGGTAGGAACGTAGATCGATTGGTAAATTGAGAGCTTTGCCTTTTGACTCAGCTTTCTCTTCACCACAACAGACCAGTACAGCGCCTGCTTCACTGCAGACGCTGCACTTATCCGCCGATTGATCTCACGCTCCATTTTTCCCTCATTCGTGAACAAGACCCCGAGATACTTGAACTCCTCCACTTGGGGCAGGACCTCCTCCCCGACCCAGAGAGGGCACTTTACCCTTTTCCGGCTCAAGACCATGGCCTCGGATTTGGAGGAACTGCTCCTCATCCCGGCCGCGTCACACTCGGCTGTGAACCGCTCCAGTGAAAGCTGTAGATCACGGCCTGATGAAGCCAACAGGACCACATCATCTGCAAAAAGCAGAGACACAATCCTAAGGCCACCAAAACAGATCCCCTCAACACCTTGGCTGCGCCTAGAAATTCTGTCCATAAAAGTTATGAACAGAATCGGTGACAAAGGGCAACCTTGGCAGAGTCCAACTCTCACTGGGATTGAGCCCGACTTACTGCCGGCAATGAGGACCAGGCTCTGACACCGGTCATACAGGGACCTAACAGCCCGTATCAAAGGGCCCGGTACCCCATACTCCCAGAGTTTCCCCCACGGGGCTCCCCGAGGGACGCGGTCGAATGTCTTCTCCAAGTCCATAAAGCACATGTAGACCGGTTGGGCAAACTCCCACACACCCTCCAGGACCCTGCTGAGGGTGTAGAGCTGGTCCAGTGTTCCACAACCAGGACGAAAACCACACTGCTCCTCCTGAATCCGAGGTTCGACTATCCGACGGACCCTCCTCTCCAGAAATAGCAAAATAGCAGCTACAAGTTAAAAGTAGCAAAGAGGTAGCTAAAAAGTATGAAAACTCACTCAAATCAGCAACGATTGTTAGCTAAAAGCTAAATATAGCCTAATGTTTACTAAAATTAGCAAAAGATTAGCTTAATGCTGATGAAACAAAAGGGTAGCTAAGAGCCAAAAGTATCAAATGGTTAGCCAGAAGCTAAAAGCAGCAAAAGGCTGGGTAAAAGTAACAAAATGGTAGCTAAATTAGAACAAGATAGCTAAAAGTTTCAGAATCAGCATTCAGACAATAATCTGTTTTTTATTTCCAGCTGGTGGCCAGTGAGGAGGCCCTCTGTGTGCGGGCGGTGACTCTGAGCTGGGAGCTCGTACGGGCGCTCAGCACGAATGCTCACGACTTCTGGTCAGCTTTAAAAGGTTTCATCTCCATGGCCTTTCAGCGCAAACTCCTCCAGCTGACACACACCGAGGCTCCCAGCCTCATGGCCACCTTGAAACAGGTGATCCACCTTAGTTTTAGAAAAATAGAATACTTTGTATTTTCCAAATCATTCATTACCCAGGTTCCACACTGACGTGATGTCGAGATGTTACACGCTGCTTTTAGGTTGCGTCAGAGCTGCTGGAGCTGTCTCAGTCAAAAAGTGGCGTGTTCGGTGTGCTGCTTCAACACTGCTGTCAGACATGGCTTCCCACAGATGGCTGCAGCTGTGAACGAGCAGACGCCGTATTTTCTAGTGTTTTTAGCTACATCAACATAGTCACTGAGGCTTGTGTTTATGGACCGGTCTTCAGGAGAGATCAGAGGTGAGTCTTTGCAGCATTGCTCAGATTTGTGTCGTTTGTCAAAGCAGTTTCACACGTTTAATTTCTCTCTTTTAAAGACTTGTTTCAGACGTCCAAATATATGTGGAGCAACTCGGTGAAAAGTGTGCTGCTAATGTCGCAGTTTCCAGGTGAGTAAGATTTCTTTGGGTTCTGTCCTTAGTCGTTCCCAGAGAGTGAGAATGATCGCCACTAGAGGTCTCCCCTGCTGTTCGCAGCTGAACTTCAGCTCCTGTTTTGCAGTGACGACAGGGATGATCAGCTGCCCCGCACACGTGTGCTGACATTCCTGAGCTGCCTGGATTCATCCAATCAGCAACATGAAAGACTCCTAGAAGAGTTAGTTATGCAGTTGTTGAAAACGGTAAGAGAAACAAGACCGTTTGGATAACGTCACTTGAACCTTTGTACAACTTAAGAGAACCTGGTGCATTTTGTTGTGTTAGTTTGTTGTCAGGGTGACAATCCATCAGCAATGGTGTCAGAGGCAGTTCTTCCTGCTCACCCTTCTTAAAATGGACAAAAGACCATTGATAAACATTTTTGATTCCATTATTATACAGTTAGAAAATAAACTAGAGAAATTGCATTTTCCGACGAAACTGCAGTGTGAATGCTTATTGCTGAAGAACTAGCTGAAAAACAGCTGAAATTAGCTAAAAACATGCTGAAAAGTAGCTGAAATGGAAAAACAAGTCTAAGTTAGCAGAAGAAAACAGAAAGAACACATATACATGCTGAATTTTGTTTCAATAAGCAGAAATGAGAAAAAAAAAAAAAGTAAATTTCCGGTAGTTTAAAAAAAACTCTGAAAAGTAGCTGGAAAAAAAGCGTAAAGCCTAAATTACCAGATGGAAGTGAAAAGAGCACAACTGTGCCCAAAATGCTGAAATTTGTCAAAAACAACTGAATAGTAGCTAAAAAGGCAGAAAGATGCCTAAATTACCAGAAAGAGTGAAGAGAACACATTTGTGCTCAATTAGGCTTAAAGAAGCAGAAATGAGCACAAAAACATGGAAATTATCTGAAAAAAGCAGACATTATAAAAAAGAAAAAAAAAACAGCTCAATAGTAGCTAAAAAGGCAGAAAGATGCCTAAATTACCAGAAGAAAGTGGAAAGAGCACAACTGTGCCCAAAAGGCTGAAAGAAGCAGAACTGAGCGCAAAAAAGTGGAAATTATCTGAAAAAAGCTGAAATGTGTCAAAAACAGCTGAATAGTAGCTAAAAAAGCAGAAAGAAGCTTAAATTATCAGAAGGAAGCAGAAAGAGCACAAGTTTGACCAATTAGGCTGAAAGAACCAGAAATGAGCACAGAAAAGTGGAAATTATCTGAAAAAACAATTGTGGAACGAGTTAGATGCCAAAAAAATGTACGGAAGAAGTATAGTAACTATAATAAATATAAACAGGAAAGCATTCACGCAATAAAAATTAAAGACAGTTACTAGTTTACAGTATCTTGCTGTGTATAGTTATACAAGCATTATATGGTTTGGCATTTCTTTGCTGAAATAAACAAGTCCTTTACAAAAACTTCAGATATTCTTGATGGCAGCGATTTTTTTTTTTTTTTTTTTTTTTTTTTTTTGACTAAACGGGTGGTCCTCTTCTTCTCTCTTTATATTTTTCATAAAAATAAAAGATTCTGATCCATTAAACTAAACAAATAAGAAAATATGATCATCAGTTATCATCAAACTTTAAAAAGTTCATATATTTCAACTAATAATGAGCATGTTTTGTTTTTAATTTGCACTGAACACAGTCCTAACGTCTGAAAATGACTATTCTAATATTAAAACTAGTCAACTCTCAAGACTTGTGGATTTATTTGTCTTATCTGAAAACACTGGGCCAATTAGTGCATCATAAATTTATATCTTACAGTAATTTATACTCTTATATTCTGGGTTATCGGAGCAGAAAATAAAGAGCACTGCATTTACGGGGCTTTCACAAATATAATAAATAGCATTTCACTCAACAGCACCATCTCTACGATCTGTTTCTACTCCACAGGACAACACAATATCAAAGTCTAAAGTACGTTACCATAGCAACTCCCTGCAACATCGGGTCAAAAACAGAGTGTGGCAAACGCTGCTGCTGTTGCTGGCCAAACTCCGAGAGGTGGGAGCACCGTCTCGTTATTAATTTAACAGGAAACAAGTGCTTCCAGGGAAACAGCTTGTCTTGTTTGTCCGTGCAGGAGTTTGTTTCCTCTCTACTGACGCGCGTGTTTGAAGCTGGCTTTTGCAGTAACCAGCCCTCGGTGAAATACTTGATCGAATGGACGATGGTTCTAATCCTGGCCCGGTACCCGCAGCACATCGACAGGTTTTGGTCCTGCTTCGATCTGGTGAGCGCTTCTTCGAATTGTCAAAAGAAATGGAAATAAAGTATAAAACGTTCAGTTTTTATTTTTATCTTGTCTTTCAGGATCATGAACGGACCAAAACAAGCGTGTGCACGTTCCTGTCTGTCCTGATACATTTCAGTGTCATTATCCCACATATTAAAGAGAAGGTGAGGCTGTTTGTTTATTTTTTGTCAAACCTACTCTTCCATTGGGATTTCCCAGACACAGTCTCTTCTACGTGCTGTGTTTAAGGCGGCGCAGCTGCGTAAAGCCCTGGACGTCATCCTGCAGTCGTGTTTCAGCCACAACTTCAGCGTGCGTCTGTACGCCTTACTGGCCCTGAAGAAGGTGTGGAGCCTGGCTGAAGGCCTGGCGGAGGAGGAGGCCGATGCTTTTAGAGGGATGTCGTCTGTGGTCAGAGCCTGTCTGAACCAGGCTGAGGCCATGCAGAGTTCTGGGTCAGAGCACAGCAACACTTGGAAGAACTGTTTTGCAGTTTAATGAGTTTAAGAAGCATTCTCTCTATTGAGATCCATATTTCTTCTGTACGTTTGTTGGTACGCAACCCGTTCAGCAATGTTTGTGCCAGTTCAACAATTTATATATCAACAAAGCTCATTCAGGACATTCCTGATATGACTTTTAGTAATTGTGTGAATTCTGTACTTTTTGAAATACAGTAGTCCCTCGCCTTCACGCTTCGTTTATCGCAGTTTCACTCTATCACGGTTTATCAAAATAAGAGTGGACATAACACACAATTGGCTGATATATGGATGAGCCGCACGATCAGCATGAAATTTTTCATTTAAAATTATTTTAAATTGTTTAGCAGCTGTGTGCAGCCCACAGCTGCAGTAGAAGCTTCCTTCTTCAGCGTTTCATATGAATGCTGCACCGGATAAGTGGGCGTGGACGAAAGCGCTTGCAGGTGGCAGAGAGCTGAGATCATGACATGCTGTGCTCTTTTAGAGCGTTTAGAAACATTGTAAGAGTGTGGGAAGGGTTGAAAACTCATACATATACATATATATACATATACATATATATACATATATATACATATATATATACATATACATATATACATATATATACATATATATATACATACACATATATACATATATATACATATATATATACATACACATATATACATATATATACATACATATACATACACATATACACATATATATACATATATATACATATACATACACATATACACATATATATATATACATACACATATACACATATATATACATACACATATACACATATATATACATACATATATATACATATACATATATACATATATATATATACACATACACATATATACACATATATATATACACATACACATATATACACACATATATATATATATATATATA